ACTCAGGCCACCCTTCAGAAGTCATGTTAGCACAAGGGTGAGGTCAGTTTTAAAAACCAGATTAGAAGACTAAAAGATGCTGGGTATCCCAACAGAATCAACACACCCGTTTGCAAAACCCTCCTGCAGAAAGTAAAGTTAAAGAAGATAGGACCAACAAAAAACAATGACCAAAACCTTTGCATGTTATACCACATCATGTGTCTCACAATTAAAAAAATAGCCAGCAGATATGATAGTAGCGTGTTGTTTCCCACCCCTTGCAAGCTTTAAAAAGTGTGTGTACTAAACAGCAACAGGAATAGTCAATCTTGCCCCATTCGTCACGAGAATAGGTTTACTTAATGCCAATTTAACGTTTGTAGAAGTATTTTTTATCAGGTAAACCAATGATCAGTGCATCACTACACGTTCACTTATCCTTTCCGAGAGGGAGTATTCTTTTCACAGTGAAGATTATTTTGTAGTGCTCACACGTGTCGTCGCGCATGAACACGGTTCTTGTACTCCGTATAAAAGCGCTCGTAGCACATTCATTAAATTCAGTTGACAGTCTGTGCTCTTTCCTGTCCTTTCTGTCTCTTCCTAAAGTTGTCGCGCTGTGACTAGCACACAACCACGATGAACCAACTCTCCCAAATTAAGCTCTTGTTACGTAATATTAGACCGAGTTTCGTATGGAAAGAAGGAGCGGTGCTTTTAAAATAAAATTTTTCACATACAACACCTAGATGGCATTCCAGGAAGTTCAGAGGGCAGCCACGTGACCAAATATTTTTCCTCTCCTAAATATTCCAGAAGTTCATTATTTTCAATGCAGCACGAGTTTTTCGAATACATTTGAGATGGTTGCCAAAATGGCTGGGACATTTGGCATAAAGTGACCCAGCTGTGTCATTAGCCATAATTATGCATTACCTCTTTTGTTTTTTGTGTGTTTTGACTCAGTTTTGTGTTCGTTTTTAGCTTATTGTGTTTCTGATCATTGTATTGGTTTCTTAAGTATTCGCTAAAGTTATATGTGCGAAAACCCGTATATGTTTGCATGTACATCATTTCTCATAACCAATTGTTATACATCCAGGAATACAAAGCTTAATCCACTGTGATTGTATACATTTGAAAACACTATCCATATATATTTTTGTGTGCATCACTTCTTTGGAACGATTGTGTACATGAAGGCGTATATAGTGAAATCATGGTGATTGTATATATTTGAAAGAATCATAAGTATATATTAGCCTGTATTTCATTCCTATTAACCGATTGTGTACATGAAGGAGTATTAAACTGGAAACCACTGGGATTGTAGATACTTGAAAGAATTATAGGGATATATTAGCGTATATTTCATTTGTAGTCATTATGTACTTGAAGCAGTATACTAAACTGAAACCAGTGTAATTGTATGTTGCAAAGAATTGTCAATGAAGTGAAACTGAATAAATATAATAAACATTTGAGGTGTTGCATGTGTAGTGTATGTATACGTGAACGTTTATCTGGTGAAAAAGTTGTGTGGCAGAAGAAAAGTTTATGTTTTATTTGCCTATTAAATAAACGCAGTATGCAAGGGCAGCAAGGCTTCATTTTCTGTAACGTGCATTATGCATATACTGTGAAGTATATATAGATCCAGCACAAGTTCATACACAATAGTACGCAATTATATTTCTGCCCAGACGCAATGAATGGAGCTCGACAGGTGGCGCACCATTGATAATCAGGACCACTTTCTTCAAGTAGTGTGTAATCAGTGCATGCCGATATCTATTAGCGCAGTCTAAAAGAATACTGGCACCCCTGCCATGGGCACTCAACACCCTTGTGCACCCTTCTTGCACCCTCCTCAGAGGGTGCTAAAAAAGTGATGGACATCGAAGGCACCCTTTCTTAAGGGTGTTTTTGTAACACCCTACAGTTTTTTTACATGTACACCCTATTCTAAGGGTGCATGAAGAAGCACCCTTTTTGGAAGGTGCTGAATTAACACCCTTAGGGTGTCGTCCACGGGACAAGCTCATTTACACCCTTCTGGGTGTAAAAATTTTTACTGTGTAACGTGTGATACCATATAGCGAACAGCGTTCGCTGCAGCGGGTTTCTGAAAAATTGCATTTAAAAAGCTTTTTTTTTTCTTTTACAGCTAATTGCTACACCATGCATACCATATTGTATTCGGCTGATGAATCGGCCAGTAAAGTTTAAATATGAGAAATTAAGTAAGAGAAATGGGGGTTATTCTTGCGCGTGTCAAGAAACGAGAAAAGCAATTCGTACGCAAATGTGCGCGCGCATCGAGCACAGCGTTCATGCTATCTGCTTAAAGTGTTTTAGCAACGTGAGAGCGCATTGTGGTGGACTTTGAGGTCCAACAGCTACCAGACTGTCGTGTACAACAGATGGCACGTCAGAAACGAACACTTTAATGAAACGTAAAAAAAACAAAAACAAAAGCAACAGGAGGATTTGTGCCCTCGAGCGAGGCAGCTCGTGAAGACCAATGATGATGTTAGTGAATGGCGTCTTCCGGGCAGATAACGACGAAGTTACAACGCACACTATACGACAGACTCCTTTTTCGTGTGAAAAATAGTAGGGTTAATGCAGTCGTATTATGATAAACATAATCGCTCTTGCTTGCCAGAGTGGGAACGCTAGTAACTGCATAATTCAGTCACTCAGTCATCCCTTTATCGTCCAAGATAAAAAAAGTGTCAGTTTTAACCGCAAGGTTGAAACAATGCAGTAACAGCAAATTGTAATGTTATATGAAGTTATGCTTACAGCTAACGCTTTTGTATCCGATGTCGCGAAACTCTACGGAACGCTGCATGGTGTAATAAGGCTGCTCCAGGGAGAGATAATCTTTTTGCAGTATGTTCACGTTGAAAGCGCAGCAAGTAAAAGGCTATACAAGCCGGGCGCTGACACCTGCATAGAAATAGCGTGCGCGCCAGGAATCTCAACGACGTTCTTAGAATCAAAGTTCGCAGTTTCTGCTCAAGCCGCCCCCCTCCCCCTGAGTTTTTTTTGTTTCATTCTCGTTCTAAACGGCAAGGCGTTTCCTATCTGCTTGAGCACTCAATGGCAGGTTTAACACCCGAGGAGATCGTATCATCTGCGCCTTCAGAGTGAAGGAGGTGGCCCGGCTCATTTGATCTCTGTTTCAGCAACGCCCATCTCCCCCGCCAGCGCGCCTTTACTCTCGCATAGATAATAGAGCGACGGGGGGGCATGTTCTCAAGTTGGACATTATATGAAACATGACGGTGGCACGAAAAGCCTGTCGAGAATGTCCATATAATTGATATCGCAGTAAAAGTGCTGCTTGAACAAAGACCCAATAATGCTCATAAAACAGGTGAAGTAGCACTGGTTTAGTAAAGACACGGTCAAACAGAGAACAAGGGTTGACACTTCAGCAAGTGGGTGAGAATTCAGTTTCAAAAAGTGCTAACAGCGCATAGAACGATCAGGAGACAACAAAGTGAAAGAGCATTCTTTTTTTTCTTTTACGCTCTTTGCCCTGTTTTTCAGTCCTTGCCTAATTGTTCTACGCACTGTTAGCACTTTTGAGAAGAGAACAATTGGACAAATAGCTCTGGTTGAACTAGCACTCTGGCGCTTGCGTCCAGTCAAACTAGATGCTACAATTCTGATTGACCTACCTGCCTTTCTCTCATATAATTTTTCTCTCTTGTGCCATTGTTCAAGCGGTGCCATTCTCCTATAATGACATACAAACGAGTCCAAGTTTCAACTGCTGTGTGTTGCCGTTCTATTACCTTTTTGTGCGAAAGAAGTCATTCCCAAATAAAATGACATGGTTATAGGCTAGAGTCGAGGCGTTTACACAAGTGGCCGGACTTGCCGACAGGGTATGCAGTCATCACCGCAATTCAAGGGCGTCACCGCGCGTGAGACATAAACTAGCCGTGGAATCGCGTGACAATCCCGTTCTGAAGCAGTAGAGCCAAAGGGGCCTTTGAACACTTGTTGAACGTGTTCAGAAAACATCTGAGTCGAACATAGCGAAGCACGCGTCTTGGACTATACAATTCATTCTAAACGTAGGCTAAACGTTGGCCTCTCTTCACTCAAAAAATGACGCCATACTACCCAATTGATCGCGCCGGCCATTGGCTAATTTATGCATCGTGAGCGACGTAGTTACCTCGGCTGCCGCGAGATGCCCCATTATGCGCTCGTGCTCTAGGGTGCCACCGCACAGGGTGCCTCCGCTGTATATTCTACGCAGAGGAGCCTATACAGGTGCCGTAGTGTGCTCTCTCCAGATAATAGGCAGTTTTTAGTTTCACGTACATGGATACTTCACGTACGCAAACCTGATAAGTTCACGTACGTTACGTGCCCGCCATCAGAAACGCCTTTAGATACACGTACGCGACTCGTGATCAGTGCTATCACGTAGCTCCATCGGCTAGGAATCATGAACACTGCGGTAACCAACTCTCGATACGCTTGTTTTTGGGCACCGCGCGATGATGTCTGCGTACGCAAGAAACACACGCAAATAATGGAATTTCACGTACGTCCGTGAGGCCAGCGCGTGGTCGCTATGTTCTGTGCATGCGCACTGCCTACACGGAGCAGCTCGACGTACGCATAGCGTCTGAGTACGTGAAACTAAATCTTTCTAATTCAAAGGTAAGCACCGCTTTCGAAAAAAAAAATAAAAAGAGAAAGAAATGGTCGAGATCATGGCGCACGCTGGTGAACGACCTTGCCTCCTTGCCCCTCCCCCGCGCACCTTTCAGCCATCTCGCTGGAACGAAAGAAGGGAGGAAGCGTGCGTGTAATATCTGTGTGGATTCCAAAAGCCCTTTGTGGCAGTTGATTCGTGGAAACTTTTAATGAAGCTATTCGATGAATACTTGGAAAATTGCAGGGTCCCTCTAAGAGCGTGATCTTACGTAGATTGTGCCGAGTAAGCCAGAAAGAGCGTGTGATCATGTCCACATTACCCAATGCAGCTCATCTTGGACGGTGATGAGGCCGTGGCATCGTGGTTGGACCCCACCTATTCCTTCGAGGAGGTATGCGCTACGGGCACTTTCTTGCTTGAAAAAAAAAAACAACTACATATTGGAGCTTTCAGGTTATTGTAATGGCGGGGTCAGCCCTGTGAGAATGCCCAGTGTAAGCATAAATCAAGCAATGCCCGTGGAGCAGGGCTGCTCAAGATAAGATGCTAATACCTGCTGAGGTATGTAGCTACTGACCAGACAAAACAATTATATATTTTGATTATGGGGGAAAGTTCGCCGAGTGGTTGCTAAAATAGCTAAACAAGGAAGGCTGACATGTTGCTGAGATAGGATTATATCTTCTGTCCTATCTCTTTCTCTACCCTGTCTTAGCTCTACAGTCCGCGTTTGCAGACCTAATTGTTTAGCATGGATGCGTACGACCCAGGACTGCCGTTAGGTGAACCTGAAAAGGAGCCAGAAATTAAGCCAAAAGTAGTCCAAAATAGCGATGTCATTTATTATTGCCGCCAATTTTTATGCGAAATAAATCAGAAGTTGTATTACGAGCTTTTATTATTACTTATAACTAAATATTACAATTTTTCGATAATTAAGGCCATAGAGGGCCGCCATTTCGTTGAAAATGAATTTATTAACAAATTGTAATGAATCCAATAGGCGTGCACTTAGTTTATACAGAAAACAATTGGAGTTCATGCAAGACACAATGTATGTTCGAATATTGCAGCCAGCAAGTCGGTAGGAACATTTCACATTGAAACAAATTTTTCTTAAAACTACCGCCCGAGTGGGATGATTAGTTTGCATAATACAAGTCCAGCTTCAGAACATGAAATATGAATGATGGTTAAAAGGCTAGCTCCATTTTGTTGCGGATCTCTGTTTTTTTTTTCAAGTTTACATAAGAGTTTGTATTGCGTGTCAGAATTATTCTTAAAAACTAGCGCGTAGAATCAGACTACACGGCGGGCAGCTCGACCAGTGGGCTGACCACACGTTTGCCAGCATGCACAAAACTTCGCCTCTCCGTATTTGCAAGCGCGCCCTACGTAAGGATACCTAGATGCCCACCAACCGGATAAGCAGATGATGCACGCGCGCATTTTAGTGCACCTACAGAAACGCTGGAAAATGGCAACTTAGTGTGCCAGTCTAGAAGTTTAAAAGAAGCCAAAAAGTAGCCATGACGCAGCCTGCAAATTTTTGTCGTCAAACAGGGTCAAGAAGTCGCAAGTTTGGTGTATTGTAGACTCCAACAACCCTGGTATCAAGCAGCTGAACTCAGTTGTTTCGAAATGATATTCATCAAACCGCTCGCCAAATGCGTGGGGTAAACTGCTAACACATGCTTAGAAATGCAGCAGGAATATTCCCGAGAACCCGTTCGCATCCCTACAAATGGTTTATTCAATTTTCGTTGCATGTAGCATTTGACCCAAATAAAGAAAGTGAGGTCATGTTGAGGGGCTAGTTGGTTCATTCTTTACAGCGAAAAATTGCACTAAAAACACCACAAAGAATGAACACTTAAACAGATCGAGCGCAAACTATCAACTGTTTTTATTGACTGTGGAGCGTCAGTTAATCAGGGAACCCCAACATAGCTGCGCAGACGCGCCAAAAACCATCACGGGCTAACGTACGTGTTGTTTCTTGGCGCGTCTTTTTACACCGGGTAACACACAACCTGAAGAAAGTTGCCAACCGCCACGGTGTTGACATGGTGTTTCCTTCACGCAAGAAACTTTCGAGGTTGTGCTCGCGAATTTTGAGCAGTGAAGAGCGTGGTAGCCTGTATAAAGCAAGAAGCATGTCAACCCGATGGCGCATTGCGATGTGGGAATGGTGTACGAGATTACGCTTCTCTGCGGCAAATGTTGTGTGGGCCACACACGCCGCTGCGTAAACAACCGTTTACGGGAACACCAGCTGTCGATCAAAAATAATGAAATGGCTGATTGGCCTGCCCTCTGCGCAGCCTGTGGATGTGAAGCACGATTTGAAAAAGATACTGGGACATAACATAGCACATACTGGGACATAGCACGTGTGCTCAGCTTTTGGAAGCGTTCAGCATGAAAGGTGACAGCTGTGTAAGTGATGCCTCGATATCGCTCTACGGTGCAGAAGTCTCCTTTTTGATGAATAAGGTCCGTTAGCACGTGATGTTCTTCGGTGCGTCTGCGCAGTCATGTTCGGTTTCCGTATTTAATCGATGGTCTACAGTCAATAAAAACAGTTATTAGTTTGCGCTCGACTGGTATAGGTCTTCCTTCTGTGCGGTGATTTTTTTGTTCTAGGGCAGTTTTTTTTCTGCATACAAAAGTAAGAAAGAGATAATTTCATTCCGTGTTGTGACGTGAAATGTGGCGCAGTTGACCTACTCGGTGCGGTGCCCGCCGAACCTGGTGTTCCACCCGGTTTCTCCCGGCGTGGCCAAGGTGACCAACAACACCGTCGAGTGTGTGCTCCCTTACCACTCTGGAGAGTGAGTGCGCAGCAGCGACCGCCGTTTTTCTCTTCAACAGTGTACTCTCATTCTGGATAGTGGACGAACGCAGAACAATTCGCAGGACTCCACTGCCAATGAGTTGTCTAGCCACATGCCTGCGCAGGGGTACTTCCTTAAATAGGGGGGAGGGGGCATGTTCTACCTATTCGCCCTCCCTCAATTTCTGATTGATTGATTGATTGATTGATTGATTGATTGATTGATGTGTGGGGTTTAGCGTCCCGAAACCAACATATGATTACGAGAGACGCCCTAGTGGAGGGCTCCGGAAATTTTGATCACCTGGCGTTTTTTAACATGCACCCAAATCTGAGCACACGGGCCTGGAACATTTCGCCTCCATCGGAAATGCAGCTGCCGCAGCCGGGATTTGATCCCGCGACCTGCGGGCCAGCAGCCGAGTGCCTTAGCCACTAGACCACTGCGGCACCCCCCCACTTTCTGGCTGCCCCCCTCCAACGGTATCTTAACTTTTTTCTAAGGGTGGGGGTGTGGAGCTTTTCGCTACTCTTTACGTATGATCACGCTGACATTTATGCTCAAACAGTATTGCAGAAAATTAAAGGAAGCTGACCCCCCCCCCCCCCCCCACGTCTACGCTGATTCCTTACAGCCCCGCATTGGGTCCACTCTAAAAAAAAAAAAAAGCTGCCTAATGCATATGCAGAAGCGAAAATAGAATATTGACGTGCTCCTGAGGCACTGGAATGCTTTTGGTCCCTGGTTTGCTGAAGTTCATGGGGCAACTACACAGCCGTCGGAACGCAGGTTGAAGGGTTTCGAGCCACCATTACCGTCAAAGACATACACGTTCTTAGCACTTCACGTAACGGGAATAAGGACACATGTCCGACTGAGAAAATACATGGGGTATAGACCTCCACCCTTCTTAGAGGATTACCGGACGCGTTGTTGCCCTACCTCCTCTTTGCGCATACCATATATGGCCTTAGAACACGCGTGCAGTCATGGTCGATTAAAATGCTAAAAAATGACGACTTTCTCGCCATTGTTTGTATTATGTCCATGAGCGCGCCTTAAACTAGGCGTTACGCACAAACATTTGGCAGCAGCAAGGTTACCAACGCGAGATTGTGCTTTGGAGTGGTTTGCTTGTGCAAGCTGTTCACGCTTAATCTGATATGACTGTTTATTTGAAACTTTGAAAAAAAAGTAGAAATCATAAACAATACAGCGTTGAATTCCTAACCAATGCGCGCAAAGAAACTGAATAAGTGCTCCGACACTGAGTTCCTATTTTCGCGACGGAAACAGCCCGTGCATGAAAATGAGAGAAAACTAGTAGAACAAGAGGTGGTGTCTCATATAGACGTCACATGGTGCACACCGAGGTGTGCGGACTGCAGCCCGTCAAGATCCTCCCACGCAGCAAAGCCGCACAAGGATTACGTTATCAGGCCAATGCATACAACTCACGCTCACGCGATCTATTTAACTATTACCCACTAAACGTAAGCGGGGTTCGATAATAATGAAAACATCAGTTTCGGGCTAACTGATTTGGAAAACACATTGAAGTCATGCTATTAAACTGTGCCGAAGCGTAGTCGTGATGAAAATTCAAGTTGACCATCGCTGCTTAAACGAGGCTCCGGGAGAGTAATTTCATCAGGCAGTAATGGACACAGGCTTGATCAGGCACCTTCGGTGAACAAGAAAGAACGCACATATGGGAATGAAGGCAAGGAAAGGCCGTGCCAAATTTGCAGCACACATCACTGAACAAAAAAAATAAAATGCACGACGCACGTTTCTGCAGTGCAAACGTTTTACGGATGAATGAGTGGAGCATGACCACTACATTATAATTGGCGCTGTGATTCAGCCTCTGCCTACATGTCGCTGTTTCAGCCCCAGCTCTTGTCTTTCGTGCATCAGCCCGAGGAAAGTTGATGCTATAAGCCAGGTCTTGTTACCTCAGTACATCGAGGGTGGTGCCAGAATTTTGTTACCGAGGTACACTCATGGCAAGACGGTTCATTCTTGAACGGGGAGGGCAGGTAGGCTGTTTCGCCTGGGAGTCCACACCGAACGTCAATGCCTCTGCAAAGGCAATCTGTGTCAAGGCCAGCGATCGAGCCCGCCTGACGCGATCAACTCAACGACGTCATCAAGCGGCGGCGCCGGTCTGTCTTACGCATTGCACAGCAAGCTCCCCCAGCCCACGAGCCCGTTGAAGCAATCAGCGCATTTCAGTCTGGCGAGTCTTACGCAATGCGTGGTAACACCACTCATCCTTGGGTGCACCACTCGTCCTTGGGTACGCCTCTATTTCTGCCCCGCCGCGGTGGTCTAGTGGCTAAGGTACTCGGCTGCTGACCCGCAGGTCGCGGGTTCAAATCCCGGCTGCGGCGGCTGCATTTCCGATGGAGGCGGAAATGTCGAGGCCCGTGTGCTCAGATTTGGGTGCACGTTAAAGAACCCCAGGTGGTCAAAATTTCCGGAGCCCTCCACTACGGCGTCTCTCATAATCATATGGTGGTTTTGGGACGTTAAACCCCACAAATCAATCAATCAATCAACGCCTCTATTTCTATGCTGTACATAAACCTTGCCTCAACTCACCATCGTCTCGTCCGCTCGTCTATCAGCTCTGCGCAGAAGCACTCGCGAGCTCAGTAACACACGCTGCCAAAAGGCTGGTGACCCTGGCGGTGGAGTTCGGAGCAGTGGCGCCTTCGGGACCGTGTTGGTGTCGCGCCTTTGTAACAAGGCTCATGTGCTTAGATTTGGGTGCGTTTTGAAGAACCCCAGATGGTCGGAATTTTCGGGGCCCTCCGCTATGCGCTTCCGGGAGCCTCCAACCCCATAATCACATCGTGGTTTTGGGACATTCAGCCCCGATGATTACTATTAATAGTACACTGATTTAACATCTAAACATGAAAAACGCTGAGTCCCGAGTAGTCACAGATAGTGGTCTATTCGACGCGTCTATTCGGTTACAAAATATGGCCTTTGTCGCGTGGATGAAATTCACGCATTTGTTAGTCTTTTCTGGCCGACAGAGTCATGCTTTCTTTCTATCGCGGTGCAGGAGCCCAGTGAAGACTACGCCCAAGAAACGCACCTCTAAGTCACCCGTTAAGACCGTCAAGAAGGCACACAGGCAAGTGAACGTCACATGCTTCCGTTTTATCACCAAAATACTCAACGGAAGCGCTAGTTGCTATTGAACCACCTCGTGCCACCTTAGCCCATAACAATAAACAAGCTAGATCCTGCCCAGTTCAAGGAGCGCTAAAGCTTTCTAAGACTGAGCAGAATGTATAAAAGGAAAAAAAAATGGTTCCTAATCTGCGTGTTACACCGCAAATGTAGTCGAAAGATGATAGTCTTGCGTCTGGAGAGAGTGAACAAACGTTTATTTGATGTTCTGCGCAAGAAAATTGGTGAAAGGTATTCTGGAGGCGCTGAGTTATAGTGCCTCGAGCGTGTAGCAGAGGCGAACGAGCGCATCGAGGCACGTTAGACACAAGCGCCATCTGGCAGTTATCTTCGAAAACAAAGACGTGCAGCCCGCGGAGAAAGATGTGCGCCAGTCTCGGAGGTGATAAGGTGTAGAACTCAAAGCGACAGGCAGGTGCCACCTCCATGACGTCGTAGCAAAGCATTGGATACAACTTTTTGAGCATCGCGTGGCACTTTCAGCGCAGCGCGCTAAAACGCTACATTCCTTAGAGCTGCTTGTGTGTGCCTCTTCTAGTATAAAGGCAGACATACAAAACTTCGAAGTGTTGTTATGACACCTCAGATATGCGCAATAATTGCTTCTTAATTACATTAAGATGCAATGCAATAACATTGCACTGCTGAGTAACTCAGGGAACGAATTGCAACTCATGATTACGGAGTTAGACAAGGAGAGCAGAAAGGTGGGTCTTAGAATTAATCTGCAGAAAACGAAAGTAATGTACATCAACCTCGCAAAGGAGCAGCACTTCGAGATAGGTAATAGTGCACTTGAAGTTGTAAAAGACTATGTCTACTTAGGGCAGGTAATAACCGCAGAACCGAACCACGTGATTGAAGTAACTAGAAGAATAAGAATACGGTGGAGCACATTCGGCAAGCACTCTCAAATTATGACAGGTAGATTGCCACTATCCCTCAAGAGGAAGGTATATAACAGCTGCATCTTGCCAGTACTTAGCTATGGAGCAGAAACCTGGAGACTTACAAAGAGGGTTCAGCTTAAATTGAGGACGACGCAGCGAGCAATGGAAAGAAAAATGGTAGGTCCAACCTTAAGAGACAAGAAGAGAGCAGAGTGGATTAGGGGACAAACGGGGGTTAAGGATATCATAGTTGAAATAAAGAAGAGGAAATGGACATGGGCCGGGCATGTAGCGTGCAGACAGGATAACCGCTGGTCATTAAGGGTAACTAACTGGATTCCAAGAGAAGGGAAGCGGGTTTGGGGGAGGCAGAAGGCTAGGTGGGCAGATGAGATTAAGAAGTTGGCGGGTATAAATTGGCAGCAGCAAGCACAGGACCGGGTTAACTGGTGGAACATGGGAGAGGCCTTTGTCCTGCAGTGGACGTAGTCAGGCTGATGATGATGATGATGACGATGCTTCTTAATTGACAATCGCACAACTATGAACGCTAAACCTTGATCAATATTGGTGGGCGCTGCAAATGGGGTTGGCCGTTCGGTTCCATTTGAGGTATCATTAGGGTGGACAAACAGACAAATGTACAGACAGACAGACAGACAGACAGACAGACAGACCAAAATTTTTCCGTCGAAGGTCCCCAAGAAAAACTATCGTCTTTAAAAAAAAGAAAGTGTGCACAGGACGAGTCATGACGAGTCGGTGAAGCAAATGGGATCGTTCTTACCGCACCTTCCCAGGGACATTACCCACTCGCGCATGCAAGTGAGGGACAACGTGTTTCTACAGTATATGCAACGCGTCTTTGCGGTTTAGCTGCTGCTTTTCGCGCCCTCAACTCCAGGATAGCAGCTTGTTGTCGGCATTGCTGCTTTGCCGCTGCTTCCCGAGCTCTCGCTTCCGGGTAGCTTCATGTCTGCGTAGACGTTGAGCTGCCGCATTTGGTGATTTACCCCCGGAGTAGCAGCGTGTTGTCGGCGTTGCCGCTTTGGCTTTCGCGGGTGCGAATGCTTTTTCATGATCCTTTCCATCCATAGAAGAAAGAGAATGTTGGTCTGGATTCTCTTCATCGTCATCAGCATCATCGTCATGACGTATAGTGGATACGTTGCATGGGCTGTGCTGTCATGGCAGCGCCATCGTCAACGGGTACCTTGAACGTGCTAGCATGCCTATTCTTCATTGTCATCGTACATCTGCATCTACCTTGCTTGTGCTGTGCCAGACAACGAACAATCAACAAGCTAGATCCCGAGATGCTTCGCCCCTAATAAGTAAACATGTTAGGTAAAGAAGCTAAACTGTGTGAAATCAGCCATGATTATTCTTACAACACGTTTATGTTGCATAAGCCTACAGCAACGCCTCTTTTACGGAAGTGACATCGAGCATTCATGCATGGCTGGACTGGAAAGGCACATGGGCGCTCCTTTAAAAGGAACGTTAGTCCGGCAAGTCCGCCTTTAGGCCAGCATGTCGTCTGTGGATATAACCAGAATGTCTAGCTTCTTTTCAGTTGGGCAAGACGTTCGAATCATTAGAAATGTTCGGACGTAACACTATCTCGTAACGGGCCTCGCTGCCGTAGTTTACCTGGTATGTGGTCATGCCCGGTTTTGTTATGTTGCTGATCTTCTATTACGCACCACGTAGGTTTCAAAATTACTGCAGGGCTTTGCGCATTCCAGCTTGTTTAAACAACGTGTGCAATTTCCTTCAAGGAATTTGTTTACCCGTTCGCTGTACTGAGCAAACATTCTTGATATTGATGGCAGCCTGTGCTTCTCGATCGATTCGATTATTTTTTTATTACTAGTGCGTCTATCATTAGCGGGCTTGAATTTTGGGACGAATCTCTATCGAGCATTGTGGCAAAATTCACGTTCCTTGGCTCATTGGGTGTTATGCAGGAGCCGCTCCTGGTCGACCGTCAGGTCGGCCAGCTTCCACTCATTCCGATCTTCGTCGAGCGAGCGCTCCCGCCGCCGCTCCCGCTCCAGGAACGCGTCGGCGCACAGACGCTCCAAGACGCGCCACCGCTCAGCTTCCGACTCTTCGGAGCGCCACCAGCGTAAGCGCTCGCACAGACGCAGTGACTCGCACCGCCACGGCCGCACAAACTGAGGCATCCTCTGCGACCGGCTGCACGGGTGATCCAGACCCGAATGAGTCGCTCGCTATTGGCCGGCAGCGAGTGGTTTGGTCACGTGAGCTGGTTTCCGTCACGGAACTCGGGTCTGTCGACTTCGTGGGCTAGCTCCAAGTCTCCACACGTACTGGCGAGAACTTGGAGGAGCAGCAATTCTTCGAAAGCGGACTTCTTACAGCGTCCCGCAAATAAATTTAATGACAGCCGACTCTGAGATTATGTTAATGCTTCCGGTCATTTTCTTTAACTAGAAAGCGTTTCTTGGCTATAGGTTAGAGAAAGTATGCATCCAGCTAGAGTGTGTAAAAGCTGTGTCCGGAATGCACGTGACCTCTTATACCGAAACTGACGCCAGCTTCAACAGCTGTTAGGCAGCTCACTTGCAACCCGCCCGCTGTGACGTAAGAGGCGAAATTCCCGCTCCTGAGGGGAAAGTTCCCATGTCAAATAGGAGAAGGAAAACGTTAATACCATGTGTCCTGCATGAGCGCACTGACATCTGCAGCGCATTTGCACAGACGTAGAATGTACACCAAGATAACACGGCAACACCTCTTTGGAGTACCGCTCCCTAACAACAACGCCATGTTTGCTTGATGCAAAACTTCTTGGGCTTGCTTGGAGGCTCACGCTAAATCAAGAAATAGCATCCCCAACGTGAGTCACAAGTGCTGTGGGTCTCACGCATGGTCAATGGCTTCAACGCTATTTCCTTGAGGAACCTATTGGAAAACTCCATAATGTCGCGGTAGCGGGATCGGGCACCACTGGTGTTAGAAAACTCTGACCAGGCATTCTCGATTTGGGGGTTCACCTTGAATTCTTTGGAAGTCTCTGAAAACCTATCTTCGAAATGAACGAAAACAAAACATACGTTTTCTTTTTGCTGTTGTTGTTGTTGGAGGCAAACTATTTTCAGTGACGACTCCTTTCTATTTTTTGTATGCTTTGCCACATACTAGTTCTGCATTGCGGAGGAGCTGACTTGCGTATTCTTTTCTTCGTGAGATGGAATGCAAATCTTTTAACGCAAGGACGTTAAAGAGTTTTTTGGGTTTTTTTGCTGAAATTTCGGGTTTGTTGGTGGTGTCTTTGATTGTAAGCAAAAATTCAGTGCTAGCCATGAGCAAAAGTTTGGCGAATGAATTTAATAAAGTTTATTAGAACTCCGACATTTTCTTTCGGGCGAAGTGGGGAGGAGGAAATTAACCCCAGTCCCTGCCCACCTTTCGTCGTTGATGATGGCGGTGCATCAGGTGACCGCTTGAAGTCCTTGGACCCGGGCGGCAACTTCGACTTGCCGGACGGCCTAAAGCTGGCGGCCAGCTCGGCAGCAAAGCTAACGCAGACGATCCGCAGCAGTGACCTGCACCGCGGCGGCGGCCGGCCCCTGTCCTCTCACGGTGGTAGCAGCAGCAATTCGCCTCAGAATTCGTCCCTGCCTTACATGCGTCACCAAGGGAGTGGCCACAGCGACGTAATTGTTTTCGGCACACTCCCAAAGCATGTGCCGCAGTGTCGGCTTTTCCTCGCACGCTTTACACGCGTCCATCGGATATAGGCTTGGATAACGCAGGCGTTGGATCGCCGGGCTGGGTACTTAATTTCTTGTATTAATATCATAGTTACGGTCTGCCTTTTGGTCAATTTGTTTGAGAAATATACAAATGAAGTCTGTCTGTGTACTTTCACGACTTCGTTCAGTGGCACTTGCTCATTCTACCATTAATTATACTCATTGAGCTCACCAACGTGTTTTAGCGAAGCAGAGGTTTTACCTTCAATCCGGTTCACATTCACACAATGCAAAAAATTAACGTCCACAATGAATTCCAAGCAATGTCTTTAGTGTCTGTTACTTTTTGTGAGTGGAAGCGCATGAAGTTCGAGTGCCACCATTGCTTTCGATGTCGAACCAGGGACACAAGATAAACGACTCTCGCGCTATAGACGAGAATCGAGTTATGCGAAGAGTACGCGATTCCGTGCAGAGAATGTTCCCTCTTTCACGGAATTTTCGCCTGTCATATTCAGCCAAAGGTAAAAAGTAAATCTTCGTGATATTTTCAGAGAATTTCAGGAGTGGTGAACTTCTCCTACGACGGTCGATAATTGGACCTTCATGTGCTCTAATTGGTTCTGGCGCATGCACCACGCAAGTGTAGCCTCTGAAATTTGTTTCTGACACTTACGCAGAGCGATTTCTTGTTCAATAGTGGTGTCAGACTCGAAGCCTGCAATATGCAGTGTACTAGTAGTATTTAATTAAAAAGTAATGCTTTCGTTGCGTGGCAGTGGAGGGGCTAGTCACGATTTCAAAAGTCGCCACCTTCGTGAGACACGTTTAGTTATAGTATGCTGTGTGCGTGGATAAGGGCGTAATTTAGTACTGTTGTGCAGGGAAATATGCTTGGAGTTTCGTCAATGTTTGCACGGAAAAATTTCCAAAATAGAAAATTTTCATGTGCCTGAGTGGAATTCTTCGGCCTAGTACGGAACATCACTGATGACGAGTGCATTGCGCGCGTTAAGTGAGTGCCTCGGGAAAGTGCGCGACACTAAAAATTAGAAGAGAAGCAGAGCACGTGCAAACAGAAACCGGGTCATGGCTGGGCTAGACTGCACCTGCGCACGCAAGGGAGCGTGCAGGTGCAGTCTAGCCCGGCCGTGACGGGGTGAAGACGATGACGAGGAACATTGCAAGGGCGCCTAATCAACAACATAAAAGGAAAGTGGCCCAACCAGGAGTGACTACGGAGATTTCAGGGGCCAATGACTTGTCAACACGACAACCCAGAAAGCCCCAATGGGAAGCAAACAAGTGGAGCCCCGGAGTTCGATGCAGTGAGCAAGGTACTGGTTCGTTCGGCGAGAAGCATGTTGGAGGCAGTTGCTTGGAGGATTTCAAGCTGAATGGTAGTGCCTACCTTCCCCCCGACCTCCGATGACAGCGTAGCTCCCGGCGACTGGTTCACTCTCCACGGTTTCCAAACACCGTGAAGCTCTCACCGAGTGGTGCCCCGTCATTGGACTTTTTCGACGAGCTCCCAACTTTCCTATCTCCTTCTTTTTCAGTCGCTTGCCTTCTCAATCTCTTCCCCTATTTTCCTCTATTCGCTTTATCCCTCTTCATCCCCCCCCCCTTACAAGGCACTGAGCCGTGTCAGCCAAGAGGCAGACAGAAATTAGGTGCCTTTTTTGTCTTCTCAAGAACCACGACCACCACCACCAGTTCGCCAGCGTCACGGTCGTGGTTTGCCACGAGTGCCTGGCAGAAGTCAGGAGTCGGAGCAGCCTGCTCCACTTGACCTCAAGCTTCGACTGCCCATGGAGACAACGGGAAGCTACCGCAACCATGAGGTCCACTGTCGGGCGTTAGCCCTGAGTGCTTGGCCGTGGCCCCTGGTGCGCGTGTCAGAGGAGGACTGCCTAACTTCATTGACCCTGTCTTCGTAACCTACCCGCTCTGTTGTTCCTTGCGTTCACCTGCTCTTCACCGGATTCCTCCTACGACGGCCTACCCGTGCACGTATCGGCTCACTATAGACATCTTTGCAGAATACTAGCGCTTACAAGTGAAAGTGTTCCGCTTACGGTTGGACTAGACTTATTTTTGCGACTGCTTAGACCATTGTACATAAATTGTAAGATGTTTGGTTAACATTAGTATGTGTTGAGTGTCTCATGTTCGTGTTTTGTTTTGATCAAGTGAGGTAAACAGAAAACAGCCTCGCCGTCTTTCTTATGAACTTTGTGGTCAATGACGCAACGAAGTCCGTCTAATTCAAATATTCCAAAGAGCCCCATCACAGTGCTTCAACCTGTGAGAGTATGAACGCTGAGTGCCTGAGGCCTGTTCAACTTGCTGTGCGGTGGCGGATACTTTCGCCTGCCGAGTTAAAAGTTCTTAGTTCATTGTATGTGGCTGGGGGTGTTGGTTGTACGAAACCTCATCGCTGCGCCATTCGGTAGCTACGCGGTCGGTATCCTCCGTCACGCAGCTCTGTTGGCCCACTCGTTGAGGCTGGACGGAGTGCCACAAGGTGTGTGTGCAGTGTGAAGCATTGTGCGTGTTCGTGATGGACGATCGCAGACAGTCGTCGCAAGTTTCGACTCCGAGCACCGACATCTTCTCCGTGGCACCACCGTGGCCTTTGAAGACCCTGTAGCGGATGTCACGGAGTATTCGCATTCGAGGAAATGGTTAATAGAGACACAGGTAAAGAATATGTTCGTTGACAATGTCATTCAACTCTCCAGCAGCCCCGTGGTCCTCGCGAGTCGTTCTAGGGAAGAAGAAAGACAGAATGCCGCGATTCCGTATTTATTACAGGAGACTCAATAGCGTCACCAAAAAAGACGTTTACCATATTACACGGGTGGGCAATTCTCTCGAAAGGCTGCGACAGGCGAAATATTTTTCATTGATCGTTTTGAAGAGTTGCTATTCACAGATAGAGGTCGATGAGCGAGACCGAGAGAAGACAGCGTCTGTAACTCCCGATAGACTTTATGAATTCCGAGTTTCTCCTTTTGGCCCGTGTGGCTCAAGCAACATTCCAGTGGAGAATGGATACCGTTCTCGCTGCCTCGAAGTTGCAAAGCTGCTTTGTATACCTAGACGATGTGGTCATCTTCTCTAAGAATTTATAAGTATACATCTGAAGCGCCTAGGAATGGTTCTGGAAGCTATTCATACTGCCGAACGTGCGCCAAATTCTCAGAATTGCCATTCCGGCTACGATGAGCTGAAATTTCTGGGACATGTTGTGAGTGTGGATGGAGTTCCGGATGATACAGATTCCAGACAAAACTGCAGCAGTCACCGCTTCCCCTGTTATGTAAGACAAAAAGCAGTGCGGCGTTTCCTTGGCCTGCGTGCTTATAATCGCCGATTGATTACCAACTTCTCGACTATAGCGAACCATGTATTGTAGCATCCACAAAGCTCATCCGAGACGGTGTCTATAACGAAGGCTCGGACAGCCGATCTGGAGTCGCTGTATATTTTGTTTATTTCATCAAAATTCTGTGATTTCTTATACCCTTCATCGGAATTCTGTGCCCCGCAGTGCCAAGCTATGCACAGCTCCACAGGTCACCTGCCTTCACCGAGTGAAATATGGGCTAGTAAGCGTTTTCCTTGCCTGCTGTGCACTCCGTCTCCGATTTGCTCTGTAGAGATTTTTTTCTATGCTTGCAAACAGGGGTAGGCGCCGTCGGCATACTGAGGAGCTTGTAGCGAAATTGCAGCGTGTATAGCTTCGTCCAGCCCAAAGCTCACCACCGCCCTCGTTTTGATCACGTGACCACTGGAAGAGCAGCTGCAAAACTGCCTCCGAGCCCAGTGTGTCGGGGAGCCTGCGCTGTCATCAACCGTAGTAGCTGTGTAGTAGCTTCAAGTGTAAGTAGTATTTCATTCAGCGCTTCCTTTGCCATTTGATTTGAATGCAACGTAAGGTTTAAAAAAGAAAATGAAGACAGCCACCCGTTTTCTAGTGCGAAGCCACAAGGAATTCCGTAATGATTTCTCCGAAACCATCATCACCATCATCATAATCATCATCATCAGCCTGACTACGTCCACTGCAAGGACAAAGGCCTCTCCCATGTTCCGCCAGACAACTTGGTCATGTGCTTGCTGCTGCCACTTTATACCTGCAAACTTCTTAATCTCATCCACCCACCTAACTTTCTGTCTCCCCCTAACCTACTCGCTTTCTCTGCGTATCCAGTCAGTTACCTACAACTAAGTTACCCTTATTGCACAAAACAAGTCATCCCTCTCAGACAACCCTGGGGAGAGGGAGGCCTTGCCGGGACAGACGTATGGATGATGATGGGTTGATGAGTTACGTGAGACTCTGAGACAAAGCGCCTGCGAGCGCCGCGTCTCTTTCCTATTTGACAACGGCAATGTACAGACAGACATACCGAAATTTCTGCTTCGCAGTACCGCAAGAAAGACTATCGTCTTTGAAAAATGCTTTTGTTAGCGAAAGTGCTGCCTGCATGGTGTGCAGCCAGACAGAGCATGGTTCTAGCGAATTTAGTTCTAAATGATATTTGTGGTTTAACGGCTTAAAACTGAGATATAGTTGAGGAATACTGTAGTAGAGGGCTACAGAAATATCGAAAATCTGGCGTCCTTTAACCGGCACTGGCATCGCAGCATATACATATTACACAAACCTCTAGCGTTTCATATTTCTCAAAATGTGACCACCGCGAACGGGATCACTACCGCGACCTTCGAGTCAGCTGCCGAACAAAATAACCACTACATCGCTGCGGTGGACAGAGAACTTGGTTCTCATCGGTGGTTAAAGAGAAAGTAGTGGTCGTGCACACACGTAGTTCTAATCGTATCAGGGTGCTCACAATATGCATCTTCGCGAGACCTATCTTAGGCACCATAGTCTTTCTACTGCTCTGAACTAAGGGATAGCGTAATAGAGTTTAATAACACATTCTCGA